TGCCCTGTAAACTTCCACTGAAATCACAATAAAAACTTAAAAAAAGAAGACGCTGAAATGGATATAGTGTTCTTAGCATATGATTCCGTATTCAGTGATCTTTACAGTCTCATCCTGGAGCCAACAGCTGGGAAGAAAATGAAAAATGCAAAGATTTCTTGGAGAGCTCATTTTGTGGACTTAATTTCATGAAATTCTAAACTAGGAAGGGAGCCCCTGAGTGGTACAAATGCTTAATACACTACTGCTAACTAAAAGATTGGTAGTTCGAGTCTCCCCAGAGGCACCTTAAAAGAAAGACCTCGTGATCTACTCCTAAAAATGTCAGCCCTTAAAACCCTTATAGAGCACACATGGGGTCGCCTTGAATAGACACTGAGTTAATAGCAGTTGGTTTTCTAAACTAGGAAGGTTAAGATGGGGCCCCCCAACCATAGGTAGCTTCTGACACCCAGTTGGCTGTGAATTCAGCGTCATTCATTTACAAAGCCCTGACACCGAGAGAAGACACAGTCAGTCCCTGCCCTCTGGAAGCTCACATCTGGGCCGAGACAGTGATGGGGGTGGGAAGTGTTCTGGGCACAACACAAGTACTTTAACCACCGCGGCACCAGAATTCCTTCCCTCATATAAACCAAACCAAAAATTCAAACCCACTGCCATCGAGTCGGTTCTGACTCAGAGCCACCGGACACAGGGTTTCCACAAGTGCAACTATTCGTGGAAGAGATAGCCTCATCTTTCTCCTGCAGAGAGGCTGGTGGGTTTGAACCTTCTACCTTGTGGTTAGCAACCCAATGCTTATTCCACAACACCAAGAGGGCTCCTTCAGTCTCACACATGCTGTTGAATGGTGTTGAGTTGATTCCAACTCAAGTTGTTGTTGTTAGGTGCCATCGAGTCGGTACTGACTCATAGCGACCTTAATGAAACACTGCCGGATCCTGGGCCAACCTCACTATTGTTGCCACGCTTGAGTCCATCGATGCTGCCACTTGGCCAATCCATCTCGTTGGGGGTCTTCCTCTTTTTCTCTGACCCTCCACCTTACCAAACATGATATCCTTCTCCAGCAACTGGTCCCTCCTGACAATATGTCCGAAGTATGAGAGACGAAGTCTGGCCATCCTGGCCTCCAACTCATAGCAACTTTATTTCCAAGGAGCTGCTGGAGGGTTTGAACTGCAGACCCTGCAGTTAGCAGTCCAGTGCTTATCCTACTGCTCCACACCACGATTGCTCTCGGACATTGTTGTTAAGTGCCATCAAATTGGTTCCAACTCATAGCAACCCTGTGCCAGGTTTCCAAGAAGCAGCTGACAGGTTTGAACCTGTGAACTTTTTAGTCAGCGGTCCATTGGTCATCCTGCATCTCTACAGCAGGACTCCCTTCTCACACGCTGTTGTTGTTCAACCTTGCACTAGGGTTCTCAAGGAGTACCTGGTGAGTTAGAACTGCTGACCTTGTGGTTTAAACCAACCTTTCCAACCATTGCTCATCCCACAGCACCACACCAGGACACACCCTCACACCCACCCACTCCTAAAGGTCCCTTTCTGTGCGGGATCTGACTTAAAGTCTGAAACATAAAGGCTTAAAGTAAGTGCTCTGACCCCATCTTAATGTCAAATGTCACCTTGAGTACCTGACACAATTCTGCCAGAATTTTGATATGCCCATCAATATGAGAATCCTGGGAGAGCAGAAAAAGATATTTTGCACAAAGGTAAAATCCCACAGTTGTCCTGAAAAGCGTTTCAGCTTGGATGACTCCAGCTCTTGACAAAGACATATAGATGAAGGGCAATTATCCCTGATGCTGTTTACTTTCTCCTAGCTTGTTGAACCTCTGAAGACCCCCTGACTACTGCTTCTTCAATATAGTCTTTGATCTATTGAAAAACAATCACAGTCATGGGGGTTTAATGTTTTTAGGAATATCCATAGCTCACCCCTGTTGCTGTTAAGTGCTCATAGTATACGGTTTCTGAGGAGCAGCTGGTGTATTTGAACCACTAACATTGCGGTCCAGTGCATTATCCCACAGCACTGCCCTGATGGTGGGGGTTATATTCGTGGAGTTATTCCCTACTCATAGCAACCTTGTATAGGGTTTCTGGGGCTGTAAATCTTTACAAGAGCAGAAAGCCTCATCCTACTCCTTTGGAATGACTGGTAGTTTTGTACTGTTGATCTTGAAGTTAGCAACCTGACTTGTAACTACTACGCTACCCCAGGACTAGTGACTTTTCCCCTTGTTATAGTGTTGGTTTTGCAATGTTCTTGGTACTCAGACAGAGACTCAGAGACTGCTTCTGATGTCGATTTTTTCACCTTTGTTTCTTGTGCGTATAAAACCTCTTTTTTTCACGACCATAAGTTTGCAGCAATTTTCCTCTGGGACATATCGGAATCACTCAGCAATTTTCCCCTGGGACAAATCGGAATCACTCACATCAGCGGGCAATCAGCATCCCATTCTCCCCAGTGATGTTAGCCCGAGCAGTTTCTTTATTCCTTTCTAAAGAATTACTATGTAAAGGTGAATGGAGAATGAAAACGGAAAGGGCCATTTCCAGTAAGATGAAAAGAAAGGCTCATTAACTGAGTTCAGTGAAGGCAAAGTGGGAAGCTCATGGCCCACTGGGTCTGCGGGGGCTCTTGGTAAAATCACTGAGCTCCCCAGCCACGGCCATCTCCCAGCTGTAGGGAAGTGGCCTGTCCGGCTTTCGAGGTCGACTCACCAGTCATATGTGCCCTTTGAGAAATAGGTCCCACAGCTAGCTCTTCTGCAGTGTGGAAAGGGCTTTGTTTAACTGATTCTCTTTGTTTGATAAATACTTTGCTTGCTCCTTTGATGTTTGTGTTTCCATAAATAGATTCTGATGCAACTTGCACATCTGTGTCCCCAAAAGGCTTTTTAAGAAGTTGCAAATAGATGTCCCAGTTTAAAATGATGACAAGGCCAGCTCTGTTCCTCTTCTGCCTCCACCAGTACCCCCGAGCATCAAAACCCTCTCCCCACTAGACACACTCAGGTTTCCTGAAGGTTCCCGACTGGTAGGTTCTATCCATGGTGCTGGAAGACCTCTGCCTCTAGGTTTGTAGACTTGGCTGGACATGAGTGACCTCCTTGAGCAGGGGGTCCCTCAGGATGTCACTTTCTAATTATACAAGATGAAAAGATGACGCATAATCGAGAGCAAGCAACTCTGGGTTGGAAGACGAGGGGAGGTTGAAATCACAATGTATTCTAAAGGCAGCAATAAATCATTTCTCTGTGTGTTATACAGGGTTTAGAATGACTGCTGTTCCTCATTCATTCAATTAACAAAAGTGTGGTGAATATATCAGTCACAAGCATCTGCCATTTCAACAGTCTCCACACATAGTATTCATTGGCACTGATTGTTCATGTTGTTCAGCCAGCACCTCATTCATTTGCTTCATTTTCCTTCCATTTGCAAATATTTCTTTTTGATCTTTAACTTTTCACTGTGATGTAGGTGAAAGTTTGGAGTCCTGGTGTGGCATTGTAGAATAAGCCCTGGACTGCAGGATTGGTTTGAACCACAAGGTTGGAGGTTCTAACTCACCAGCCACTCCTCAGAAACCCTATACAGGGTTGCAATGAGTCGGAACCCTTCCCGCTTCCTCCTTCTGTTCACCATCTCCATTCTTCCTTCTTTGCTATCACTTCATGCCTTCCAAGCTTTGCTGTTGTTGTTGTTAAGTGCTATGGAGCCATTTTCAACTCATAGCCACCCTGTATAGGGTTTCCAAGGAGCAGCTGGTGAGCTTGAATCACTGACCTTGTGGTTCAAACCAACCTTGCAGTCCAGCGCATTAACCCACAGTGGCTCACCAGGACTCCATTCTATGTGATTTGTTGTTGTTAGGTGCCATCGAGTCAGTACTGACTCATAGTGACCTTATGCACAGCAGAACAAAACACTGCCCAATCCTGAGCCAACCTCACTACTGTTGCCACGCTTGAGTCATTCGATGCTGCTACTTGGCCAATCCATCTCATTGGGGGTCTTCCTCTTTTTCTCTGATCCTCCACCTTACCAAACATGATATCCTTCTCTAGCTTGTCCGTCCTGACAATATGTCTGAAGTATGAGAGGCAAAGTTTGGCCATCCTGACCTCCAAGGAGTCCTCTGGCTGCACTTCTTCCAAAACAGATCTATTGGTTCTTCTGGCAGCCCTTGGCACTTTCAATATTCGCCTCCAACACCATTGGACTTGCTGAGTTGGGTAAGTAGCAGAGCTGGAATTCAAACCCAGGTCCAGGGGATCTGATGGTGGGGCTCTATTTACCAGGATGCACTCTGGCCTCCCAGGAACCAGGTCAGTACCAGGGCACATGCACACTGGTCATGGTGCATAGAGGAGGGAAGAGAAAATGGAACCATTTCATGCACCAATTGATTCAAGGATATTTAGTTTTCCTCTAAGAGAAAAACGCCCACTCGAAACGCTGAAAGCAGCCTGGTGTGTCTTGCAACCAGGTTATCAATGCCATCTGAGCAACCGCCCCCTCCCCGGGGTCTCAATCAGTGGGATCTAGAGCTTCTCTGGTCTGAGAGGCTTCCTTGGGTGGGCGGAGGGGCTGCAAGACAGGCCTTCAGCAGTGACAGGCACAATGACGCCGCCAATTGGCACATCACATCGGTGAGTCTAGTCCTCCCTTCCAGACTGTTGTTAGCTGCTGTCGAGTTGGCTTCCGATTCACCGCAAGCAGAACAAAATGCTACCAGGACCTGTGCCATCCCCATAGGGTTTTTATTGACTGGGTAGATCACCAGACCTTGCTGGCTTCTTACTCTGTCTTAATCTGCTGAAACCTGTTCAGCACCATAGCAACATGAAAGCTTCCATTAACAAGTAGGTGGTAGCTACAGAGAAGGTATGTTGACCAGAATTTAAACTCAGGAATTCTCTGCCAATACCACCACTGCCCTCACCTGGATAATGTGAACAGTTAATGCACTTGACTGCTAACCAAAAGGCTGGAGGTTCAAGTTCACCCAGAGATACCTTGAAAGAAAGGTCTAGCGACTTACTTTTTAAAACCAGCCAATGAAAACCCTGTGGAACACAGTTGTACTCTGGTGCACATGAGCCACCATGAGTCAGAGCCCTTTCCAGAAGCTATCGAGGTGCCAAGTAAAATCTCAAACTCACCCAACATGGGTCCTGACTTTACTTGTCTTACCACCAGGAAACACTGCCCAGCCAGGGAAGGAGTCACAATCATGAGGACTGGACTCCACACACCCTGACACGGCTCCCTAGAAGACGTGCTAAGCTTCATGATATGCCTGCAAAGTTAGGGACCAGCACTCTGTATTGTTGTTGTTAAGTGCCATCAAGTCGGTACCGACCCATAGCGACCTTATGCACAGCAGAATGAAACACTGCCCAATCATGGGCCAACCTCACTACTATTGCCACACTTGAGTCCATTGATGCTGCCACTTGGCCAATCCATCTCATTGGGGGTCTTCCTCCTTTTCTCTGACCCTCCACCTTACCAACCATGATATCCTTCTCCAGAAGCTGGTCCCTCCTGACAATATGTCCGAAGCAGGAGAGCCAAAGTTTGGCCATCTTGGCCTCTAAGGAGCACTCTGGCTGCACTTCTTCAAAAACAGATCTATTGGTTCTTTTGGCAGCCCATGGCACTTTCAACATTCTCCTCCAACACCATAACTCAAACATATCAATTCTTCTATGTTCTTCCTTATTCACTGTCCAGCTTTCACATGCATATGAGGTTATTGAAAATACCATGGCTTGGGTCAGGTGAACCTCAGTCCTCAAGCTGACATGCAAATTCAAACTGAAGCTGAAGAAAATGAAAACAAGTCCACGAGAGCCAAAATATGACCTTGAACATATCCCACGTGAATTTAGAGATGACCTGAAGAACAGATTTGATACATTAAGTACTAAAGACAGAAGACCAGAAGAGTTGTGGGATGATATCAAGAACATCATACAGGAAGAAAGCAAAAAATCATTGAGGAGACAAGAAAGAAGAAAAAGGTCAAAATGGATGTCAGAAGACACACTGAAACTTGCTCTCCAGCATAAAGATACTAAAGCAAATGGAAGAAAGGAGGAGGTCCAAGAGCTGAACAGAAAATTTCAAAGATCAGCTCAAGAAGATATAGCCAAATATTACAACAAAATGTGCAAAGATCTGTAATCAAAAAACCAGAAAGGAAGAACACGCTCAGCATTTCTCAAGCTGGGGAAACTGAAGAAAAATTCAAGCCTCGACTTTCGTTACTGAAAGATTCTCTGGGCAAATTATTGAATGATGCAGAAGAAATACTGACGAGGAGATGGAAGGAATACACAGAGTCACTGTACAAGGAAATGGTTAATGTTCAACAGTTTCAAGACGTAGCATATGATCAAGAGCCAATGATACTCAGGGAGGAAGTCCAAGGTGCATTGAAATAATTGGCCAAGAGCAAGGCACCAGGAATTGATGGAATAAAAATTGAAATCTTTCAAGAAAGTGAGGCGGCACAGGAGGGACTCACTCACCCTGTATTAGAGATGAGAAAACTGATCCTGTAGTCAGAGGTCTATGGGCCATGCTGGAAGTGACAGAGCTGAGACCCAAGTCTTGTCCCCTGACTCCAAAGTTCAGGCATTTGCAAACTCTCAAAGTTTGTAAACTGGCAGCCTAAGGATCAAATTCAACCTAAGAAGAAAAAGAGTTATTGTGAAATCAACCCAGACTCACGGCACCCCGTATGTGACAGAGTGAAACTGTGTTCAATAGAGTTCTTTTATAATGTTTTTCTGTTTTATTTACTTATGTATTTATTGTGTTTGAAATATACACACGTGGTAGATATATTTACAATAATGACTGGAAGAAAAGTAGCTTCTGAGATTACTGATGTACAACGAAGCATCTCATGGGTTTTAGCTCCTTGGCTTGGATATTTCAGACCATGGTTTCATGGGACATACGGTTAATTGTCTTAATAATGTGTTTAATGCTCTGTTGTTATGTGTTCTACTTTATGAAGTTGTGCTGGAGGTCTTAAACATTTGCAAATGGCCATCAAAGGTCTTGAGCAATCCATCTGTGGCACTGTGGGTTAATGCGCTGGACTACAATCGATTTGAACTACAAGGTCAGTGGTTCAAGTTCACCAGTCACTCCTAGGAAACCCTATCCAGGGTCTCTATCCGTAGGAATTGACTCAATGGCATTTAACAACAACAACAACAACAATAGAGAAAGAAGGAGACTTTGAATGGGGTTGGTGTTAGGTGTCAGAGGCAGGGTGAGGTTACTTGGCTAATGAACCTGGTAGTGGTACAATTACCGGACATTTTGATCTAATATTTTATAAAAGGATTCTGAAAGGGGAGAAAATGTAGGACAAAAATTCAAATTCTCAGAGAATCCAGGATTTCTGGAGCCACGGAAACTAGGTGAATCCATAAAACTACTGCTCTAAGATCATCTTTGGAGTCCTGATATGGCGCTGTGGGTTAACACACTGGACTGCAAAGTTGGTTTGAACCACAAGGTCAGTGGTTCAAGCTCACCAGTGGCTCCTTGGAAACCCTATACAGGGTTGCTATGGGTTGGACCGACTCGACGGTACTTAACAACAGCAGCAAGATCATCTTTAAACCTTAAACCTTGGACCAGAAATATTTCCTGACATCTTCTTCAGACTAAACAGTAATGTAGCTACCTAGCCAAGTATGTCTGCCTTGAGCCTTTAAGATCTATGGGTCTATCTGGGATCGAACTGACAACAGCCACTGGAAAGATGACATAGGAATGGAAGCTTGAAGGTAGTGAGTTCATGCTAACGTGGAGAAGCAATTCTGTAAAGAAGGGTGAGAAGGTTGTGGAACTCAAAGAATGGCATCAGTGTCCCCAAATTGCACATGTAGAAACTGATGAATTGGTGTATTTTCTGCTGTGTATTCCAAACAACATAAAATAAAATATATAAATACATATTTTATAATATGCATATCAAATAAAACGCTGACCGATTCAGCAATTTCTACATCATCGGCTTTCCACCCCAACCCCCAACCTTTTATTGTGAATTGAATAAAGGTTTACAGAGCAGATCATCAGGTTTACATTCAACAAATCATGTACTTTGCTTCAGTGCTGTTGTTCTTAAGTGCCATCGAGTTGGTTCTGGCCTCTCCCCACATCAAAACCCCTCAGAGAAACAGAACAAGATTGGTCTCCTGGCCTCTGTTTATAGAGCTTCCCTCGGACAGAAACCATAGCACATGACCCACGGGGGTGGGTGACAGGAACTGCAGGGTCTGGACTGCCGGTCACCCATGTGACATCTCCTCACACTGCCCCGTGAACATCCAGCAAGAGAGGGGACCTCTTCAGAAACAAAGACAGGAATGAAAAGCAGACCCCTGTCCTGCCCCCACCGCCCAGTCTGGAACCAAGGTGGGGTTATGTGGAGCATGAGATTTGGGACCTTCCCGTGCCTGGCCTTCTCTGAGACTTTGCAGGGCCTGGGGAGTTTGTGGCTTTGGAATGGTCACTCTTGGCCTCTCAGGAAGTTGGTGGATGATTGTAACTGGACATATTTGTCCAAACCTTCGTCTGTTCACTACAAACATTGAAATCAGGTGATGCTGGGAAGAGCCATTTGCCAAAATTATGACCAACAACCTGCAGCCAGTTCCTGAAACCCAGCCATCAGCACTGCACCTCTTGGGGTTAAGGTGTCATTTTAAAAGGCAAGTACTCCTGGTAGATATCAGCCATTCACATTTGAGTATGAATTACTTTCCCCGACTTCTTACATTTTCAGAGCTGCTAGAGAAGCTCTGGTAGCGTAGTGGTTACGAATCGAGCTGTGAACCTTAAGGTCAGCGGTTCGAAACTACCAGCCGCTCCGCGGGAGAAAGATGAGGCTTTCTACTCCCGTAAAGATTTACACCCTCGGAAACCCTGTACAGGGTCGCTATGGGTCGGAACCGACTCGATGGCACTTAACAACAACAACAACAGAGAACTTAGAGGACTCCTGGAGTTGCGCTGTAGGAGTCTGTTCACTGGACTGCTAATGACAAGGTTAGCGGTTCAAATCCATCAGCCGCTCCTCAGAAACCCTATACTGTTGGGTTGCTAGGAGTTGGAACCAACTCAAAAGCACTTAACAACGGCAACAACAGGGAGTTTAGAGGTCACGCGACCACAACAGCACATTCTGATTTGTCCATGGTTACTAGCAGATTTGGAGACACAACATGGCTTTCCTGAGTCTGTTGCCAAGAGCAGCATTCAGCAAACTTTGTTTATTTGTAAAAGGCCAGACAGTAAATATTTTAGAATTTGCCAGCCATATGGTCTCTGTCACAACCAAGTACTCACTTGTGTTGTTGTAGCACAAACACGGCCATAGACAATACACAAATGAGTGGATGTGATTGTGTACCAATAAGTAGCTATTTATGGATGCTGAAATCTTAAATGTCATATCGTTTTTATGGCTTATGAAATTGTCTTCATTTTTATCGTTTTCCAAGAATTTAATGTGAAACTCATTCTTAGCTTGCCAGCCAGACAAAACCAGACTCTGGCTGGATTTCATCTGAGGGTTGTAGTTTGCTGATCCCTGGTCTACAGCAATGGCTTCAAG